CTCTCATTTTTATTTTAAGTGTTTCTGTGAAAGAGATGGTTAGGCTGTCCACCTGCCCTTTTTCTATTCAGACCTATTGCTAGGAAGTAGCTGCCCATCCAGGAAAAACATTTCTCAGCTCCTCTTACATCGAGATGCGGAAATCCGACCGTTTCCCACTAAGGAAGGGGCCACGGCCTTTAGGAGTCAGAACGCAAGCTCCACACTCCTTTTCCCCTTCACTCCATATCATACCATCCAACAGAAATATGACGGGAACACATATGTAACTTAAAATTTTCTAGTAGCCACATATAAAACTGTAAAAGGAACAGGTGAAATAAATTTTAATACTGTATTTTATTTAACCCAATATATCCAGCATGTTATCAGTCAATAGGTAATCAATATAAAAATTAGTAATGAGGTATCTTTATATTCCTTTTATTGTACTGAGTCTTCCAAATCTCATGTGTACTTTACACCTTACAGCACATCTCAGTTCAGACTAGCAACATTTTAAGCGCTCAATGGCTACATGTAGCAAGTGACTGCCATACTGGACAGACGGGTACAGATGGACAGATGGATAGATGGATAGATGGATACAATTATTCCAAAACAATTATGTTCATTTACATTTGCAAATAAAAAAGGCAGATGTTATCTCTTTACAAGTTGGATGGAGACTGGGCCCTAGGTCGTGATATTCAGGGAAGCTACTCACTGATAGGACACCCATTGAGATCTGTACTTGGGTGAGTACGAAACCACTGAAATTTCGGGGTTTGTTACAGTAGTTCAGGTTAACCTAAGTATCCTAAAGATCCCAAGGAGACCTTATGTCACTAAAGTGTGTCACAACCTTATATGTCACAACACAACCTTAAACAAAATCTTAAGTTATGCTCAGTAATGTTCTTGCCTTCTCTTTAGAAAATTCCCTTTCTTTCTTCTTAATGCCACCTTACTTGTTTCTGCTATATTCTATCATCTACAATTGCATTCTAACATGTTGGCATGCTGCATTTTTTCTGTGCATTTCTACACATATCTGAAAAAACATCCCTATATTTTATTGTCCTGTCTTATTTTATTCAAAACTGTATAAATTCAGTGAAGATCTTGTAAACAATTACTTTATACTTAAATTAGCACATAAAAATAATATGGTCAGAAAAAGAATGATGTCTTGTAACTGTTAAAGACAATAAATATAGTATTGGAATGTAAGTTTTAGAGACCGTTAGACAATAAATAAATTATTTTGAAATATTTAATGTTTAGGAGAGTTAAACTGTGCAGCATAGTTAAATTGCTTAAAATGAAAATGTAAGAAAAACTTCTCAATAATAAGAAAAATAGACATGTATAGGATAATTTAAGTAGGCAGAATTATTTTGGTTATCTTTCTTTGGGAAAAATATTGGCAGGAGAATTAAACTGATGATATAGGGTTGTCGGAAAAGTCATGAGGCATTTTTGCAATGAAAAACATAGAAAAATACGTCATGACTTTTCCGACAACCCAATATTTTAAGATGATAGCTAATTCACGAACATTTCAGCCAGCTCCCACCTTTTTTTCAAAAGCCCTTGTGCAAAAAAGAGTTAACATAGCAAACCTGAGACTACTATTCTTAGAAAGGCCAGCCTGCAATGTTGGCCCTCGACTGGCATCTGGGAACTTAAATTTCAGGAGTGGTCCCACCATTTCCTGATAAGAATGGCTCTCTGTGCCTAAACTGTGCAAATAATATGGTTTATGCTGAACATCTGCTTTCCTTCTGGAAACTGGGAATTTTGGGGTGTGCCAGGCAGAGGGGGTGCTTATGTGACCAGCCCCCAGTAAGAATCCTGGGCATTGGGTTTCTAATAAGCTTTTCTGATAGACAACATTTCACATGTATTGTGGAAATATTCACAGCTGAAGGGCTTAAGCTTGTCCTGTGTAACTTCACAGGGAGGGGGACCTTGGAAGCTTACACCTGGATTTCTCTGGACCTCACCTCATGTGACTTTTCTCTTCGCTGACTTTGCTTTGTACCCTTTCACTGGAATAAATCATAGCCACGAGCATGGCTATATTCTTAGTCCTGTGAGTCCTCTTAGTGAATCTTCAAACTTGGGCGTGGTCTTGGGTCCCCCTGATGCAGCAGTGTGCCATATGTGTGCCATTCCATTTGTAAAGCAGAAAACATGTCTATTTGAACATTTTAATATCCACTTATACACAAAAGAAAAACAAGTACGACGCTCACCAGGTCGATTGTTTTGGCTCTTTGTTTGGATTCATCATCACACCAGGTTTCACACCACAGCCAGTCTTGAGGAAGAGACTTAATGGCAACTTGGTGAATCATATTATTAGGCAGATCCTACAGAAACAAATTAAACAAAGGGGTATAGAAATTAGAATCAGGGCAAAAGAAGTTGAAGATGTCATTTAAGATTATAAACAGGTCCTACTGTGAATCTGAGATCTCTATTTTTAAGCTTTGAATACTTAATTTGACCCAATTGTCTGGTGTCCTGAATGAACCCATGCACTGGAATGAAGCTCACACCTGCCCTGGACTGGACCCCCAGCATGAGGGATGAGGAGGAGGCCCAGAAACCCACCACTCCACATTCCCCCAAATGGACTGCCTCTACCTGCCCTGAAACGCCAGGACTAATCACTCACACTGTGCTTGTCATTACAGTTTATGTTAGTTACCACCACATTCTGCAGGTTCTGAGGTGATCTTTCATTTCTCCATTAGAAAACAATGCTCCATGAATATTTTCACATTTCTGCATGCTCAGGGCTTTCTAAGCAAAGACTGCTGGCATCTGGGTTAAAGGATGTTTAAATAGCAAACAAGCCCAATGAATCAGAGAGCTCTGGAGAGATTTAGAGACACCTCTCCCAGAGATACTTGTTTATATGCCAGGGGATGTGGAGCCCTTCCCTTCCTCTCCCAAGAGAATGTGGCTTACATTCCAGAGAAAAGGAGAAAAGGGCGTGCCTCCTCTCTCTCCTCTCCTCTCCTCTCCTCTCCTCTCCTCTCCCCTCCCCTCC